GGGTCCAGTCCACGGTATTTGTCTTTATGCCAATACATTCATAAAATGTAATTTTAATATATATTTCTGGAGAAAAGGACCCACAAAGGCAAAAATGCCACAAGGGTCGCATTCAGGCATGGGGCCCAGCGCCCTGTCTGAGGGTCTCAGAGAACCAGCCCACCTCCTCTTGCCCACGGCAGCCCTTCAGGGACAGGTCTGGCAGCGCCCAAGTCTGCTTTTCTCTTATGAACAGTCTCAGCTCCTTCAACACCTCCTTGGAAAACTTGGTCACGGTCCCTCCCCATCAAGCCCCCTCTCCGGGGAGAGCAGCTGGCCATGTTCTGCTAAAAAGATGTTGATACTGCCCTAGCCGGTTTGGCTCAGTGGACAGAGCATCGGCCTGCAGACTGAAGGGTCCTGGGTTCAATTCCGGTCAAGGGCACTTGCCTGGATTGTGGGCTCCATCCCAGCATGGGGCATGCAGGAGACAACCAATCAATGATTCTCTCTCATCATTGACGTCTCTCTCTTTCTCCCTCCCTTCCTCTCTGAAATCAATAAAAATATATATATATATTTTTTAAAGAAATGTCAAAATGCAAGCAGATGCGGCCCTTATACCTAAGGAGGGTGGTGAGTGGGTGTAACTCCTTATCTGTATACATTTGTTCATGGGCATAGAAAGATGTATCAGGGGGGAAATGCTTTTTAAAATGTCTGCCTGGAAAAAAAATTAAGTATAAGAAATAAATCAATAAGAGCTACAAAAATAAAACACAGAGTACATCTTTGTATATTAAGAATTCTATGTTTGAGAAACCAAGATGGCGGCATAGGTAAACACCGGAAATTGCTGCCTCACACAACCACTTCAAAAATACAACTACAAGACAAAACGGACATCGTCCAGAACCACAGGAAGGCTGGCTGAGTGGAAATTCTACAACTAGAAGGAAAGAGAAAAGCACACTGAGACTCAGAGGAGGTGTGGAAGTGCAGAGGTACGGAGGCGCACGTGGAAAGGGCTGAGGACGCTGAGGTGTTTTTCAATCGGGAGGGAGTCTCAAGCTCCCAACTTCTCTGAACTCCAGTTCCAGGTGAGTCTCTGGGGACCCAGACTCATACGGGAAGAAACTGGACTGTCTGGCAGCGGACAGAGGTGCTTGCAGCAATTACGGGGACACTGAGATGCGGGGCCCCTTAGGGCAGAGCTGAGGATCAGCCATAGCTATTTGCTCCGCCCTTTGATTCCCTGAGACCCCGCCCCACCCAGGCTGCGGCAGAGGCTTTTGCATATGAAAGGCCTGGCCCTTTGCAATCTGAAAATTACCTAACAAACTGCAGCTGGGCCAGACAGACCCAGAACTTCCAAGAGAAAGCCCAAGGCCCCACAGCAGCTTGCATTGCTTCACAGCTGGGCCTCATCTGGGCACCTCCAAACCCCAAACAAAGAAGGGGAATCTGCAGATCTCTCCATAGCTCCTGCTGGGTAGCCTCAGGCAGAGGCTAGATTAGCACCTCCTTAGATCCAAGAGCCAATGTACCCAGTGGTCAGAGTTGGACCATCCAATTAAACTCCTCAGATCCATAAGGGACACACTCAGGGGGCAGACTCAGTGAGCACCAAAGCCCCACTGAAGCAAGTCTTGCCCCAGAAGGGTGTCTTCAGCATAGAAGTTCTCCCACTGCAGACACAGCTGATTCTCACAGCCAACTGGACACAGGAGGCGGTTACTCACCCACAGGCAGGTCCTCCGGCAGGGTCACTGGCAGGGACATGTTGGACAGGAACGTAGGAGCCACATTGGCTGTCACTGTAGGGACACAGAGCACGGGAATATCTGAGCCCCCCTGCGAAGCCCGAACCCCTATCTGGCCCCGTGGGAGCCCACGCCATTCCCACTGGCCAATCTTCAGTCCAGCTCACCCGCCTGAGTCTGGATTCCTCCCCAGACTTCCCCAGGGCAGCCGACCAGAGGGCTGGTCATAGAAGCTGGGTGTGTACTGCTGAGGGACCCCCTCCTTGCTGGAGGGCTCTGCCGAGGGTCCCCAGGTTAGTGCTGTCCTGGGAGGGGAGGGGAGGCACCTACCAGATACAACAAGGGCAGGAAGCAGCAGGCAGGACAGCCATGGCCACGCCATCACGTGTGGAGGGACCTGGAGGAAGAGGCATCATGGAAGGGGCGTCTGTGCCCAGGCCTTCCTCCTTAAGCAGACCCCCATCGGCGTGCTCTGACCCAGGTGCACCCAGCATCACCATTCAGCACTTCTCCCCCAGGTCATGTCACTCTCCGCCCACTTTCCAGGTGTTCCAGGGTAAGGGGCAGTCAGAGAGAACCAAAGGGGTGAGCAGGGTAGCTGAGCCTGGACTGACCTTGAACCTGACCTCAGAGTTCAGAGCCCACTGTGTAGCAGGCACTGATCTAAGCATGTCAGAAGCATAATCTCATTATTCCTACAACTATGAGGTGGCTGCTAAGAAACCAAGGCTGAGAGACAGGGGCTTGCCTGAGGCCCCACAGAGAATCAATGATGACAAGACCATGCTCTGAACACAGGGCCTTTGGACACAGAATTCATTCCCTCAACCACGGCACCATTCTCCCTGTTTGAAGTGCTCGAGCCCGCTGGTCATCGCCTGCCCTTCTCTGCCCTGTTTCTGTAAGATGGGAAGGATGACTCTAACAGGTAATGGGGGAGGGAGAATGGAGTGAGGGGGACACAGCTACATGCCCACTAACAGAGCATAGCACGTCCTGAGGGAAGAGGGCCTGCTCAGTGCCTGACACACAGTAGGTGCTCAGCAAATGCAAATCCCTTCCTTCTGCATCCTGCAGGGTCATCTTTGCTTTCTCACCACGACAGCCAGTACAGTCCCCATGGAAACTGCTCTGGTCTCTCTTCTGTGCCTGTCACCACGCTGGTGCTCTGAGACGGACTCCAGAGCTCAGGAACAGGGCGGGCTGTGCGTGGGTGACGCCAAGGACTGTATTTCTGCAGTGGGACTCTAACCAGTGCCCCTTGGGGAGTGGCTGTAAAAACTGCTGGCTGGCCCACCCTGCGTGGCTCAGTGGTTGAGTGTCTACCTATGAACCAGGAAGTCAGGATTCAATTCCAGGTCAGGGCACATGCCCGGGTTTCAGGTTTGATCCTCGGTTGAGGCGCTTGCAAGAGACTGCCAATCAATGATTCTCTCTCATCACTGATATTTCTATCTCTCTCTCCTTTCCTCTCTGAAATCAATAAATATATAAATATATAAATATATATATAAATACACACACACACACACACACATTTTTTTTCCCCAAAAAAACTGCTGGCTTGCCAAGGTCCCCAGAGATGATAGCTGCAGACAGCCCATGTGCTAGACAGTAGGCTACACTCAGCCCGGTTGGAAAATGCTGGACCCAGCTTCTCAGGAGGAATCAAAAAGTCCTCAGTCCTCAGTCCTCAGAATCACGTGTGCTGAGCCACAGCCCTCAGTGAGACAGACACCATGCTGTGGTCGCTGCTGGCGTAAGGGAGTCGGGGTCACGTACAGTGACTGAGGCTGAGCTTGAGCTCTCCGGGAGGCAGGGCTGGGGACACGGACAACAGTTCAGTTTGGGGTGGGGATGGAAGTGGTGCTGGTGGGGGTGACGAGGTAAGGAGGACACCTCGGAATGTGTGTGATGACAAGGGTAGAGAGGCAGATGGAGCTGGTGGTGCTGGTCGTGGGGTGGAGAGGATGGTGCCGGTGGGCTGACAGTGGAGATGCGATGGAGTTGGGCATTGGTGATGGTGGTAGGTGCTGGCGTCCACCGTGCGAGCAAGATCCAGGGCACTTGAGCCCTGGCTGGATGCAGCCTGTCCTGGCATCCCCTTGTGGTGTGGTCTTGGACCTAACCCCCCACCTCTTTTGTCCTCTTTGGTCCCCTCCCTTGGAGGTGAGTCAGCAGCCACAGGACAATTAGTTACAAAGTGCAGCCGCAGGTATGCAAGGTGTGCTCCTCACCATGACAAAGTTCACCGCAGTGCTGTCGGGAAGACAGGAGGCTCCTGCCCTGGGACCCAGCCCCGAGGGGCAGGGAGCTGGCCTGGCCACAAGCTGCAGGTGGCAATTTGTCCCATACCATTTAGTCCTCAGCATATTGTGACCCCGGAGGGGAAGGGACATGGCCCAGTCAGTAATGGGATCAGAACCCAAAGCAGGAGTCCAAGCTGCTCTTTCGAAGCTTCTGGTTTTCTCTTCCTCATCGACCAGACCTCCCCCGCGG